CTTTTCTTTTCTTTTCTTTTCTTTTCTTTTCTTTTCTTTTCTTTTCTCTTCTCTTCTCTTCTCTTCTCTTCTCTTCTCTTCTCTTCTCTTCTTTTCTTTTTTTAGGTCTTTATTTATTATGTATACAGTGTTCTGCCTGAATGTATGCTTGCACACCAGAAGAGAGCACCAGGTCTCATTACAGATGGTTGTGAGCTACCATGTGGTTGCTGGGAATTGAACCTAGGACCTCTGGAAGAAAAGCCAGCCCTGTTGTAACCCCATTTAACTTTATTCTGGAAATACATTCCTTGGTAGTTACTTCTGTATCAATTTAATTGCTCAGAACATTGAAATGGGGTGGTGGAGACAAACATCATTGGTTTTCTTTTAAAGTCTCATTTATTTTAAAAATTTATTTGTATGTGTGAATGCGCACTCCGATGCTAGAAGAAGTCTTGTGTCCTGGAACTGGACACTTACAGGCACTTACCTGGCATGAGTGCTACCTTATAAGGAACATTATTAATTAGTGAATCATCTGTCCTACCCCTCTTTTTTTTTTTTCATGACAAGGTTTCTCTGTGTAGCCCTGGTTGTCTCTATGTAGATCAGGCTGGCCTCAAACTCACAACTGGCTTTATCTCCTGAGTGCTGGGATTAAAGGTGTTTGCTACCACGCCCTGCTCCCCCCATTGTTTTTAAAAATTATTTTTTACTTTTGTTTGTATCTTGTGGATACATAGGGCATGGCGCATGCATGCTGTTAAGAGAACAGCTCTCAGCAGATGCTTCTCTTCCTCCAGCTTTCCATGGCCTTTAGGGCTTACATTAGTGTCTGCAGGCTTATACGGCATGCACTTTATTATGGGCCATCTTAATGATCCATTAATTAATGGGTGGAGTGTATGTAAATGGAAATTAAGTTTGGAAATTTGCATATTAAAGGATTTTATCAGTAGTTAATTTTTTTCTCATAATTAGTAAATGGCATTAAAGTCCATAGAGGCTTCCAATTATTTGATAACATTGTTATTACAATTGAAAATTCACAATTTTCATTATTTATGAAAAATACTAATTTTTATCCCTTGCTAGTTAGTAACAGTTTTGATGTTCTGATGAAGCTAGAGTTGGTGACTTGCACTTTAGGCTTCAGAGAAATTTCTTTTTCCTCGCTCTATCCCCTTCCCTCTTGGCCCTTCCCCTCCCTTTTCCCGCTGTCTTGCCCTGACTATTCATTTTCAGCAGTCCTTCTCACTTTAACCCACAATGGTGTTACAGCTGTCGTCCTTCTGCCTCAGCCTCTGAGTACTAGGGTAATATTACAGGGGGTGAGGGGTGTCTCTCTGTCATCCCCCATTCTCCCCCCATCCCGTGATCATGTCTCTCTATCGAGCATCGTTACTGTATATTCCTAAATACTTAACCTTGAGTTTCTGGACCCACTGAATAGTTAAAGCCATTGTCCTCCAGTATTAGTGTCTCTTGTCCTTTGTGAATTGTTCACGAGAGGAGGAACAGTTCAAGTGTCCCCAGTGTTTCTGCCTTTTTAAGTGGCATCCAAACTGCTCGCTAAGCCATCATTGTCTTGTAGTCTGTCACAAGGAGAGATTCTCACATACTCTCTCAGACTGGGGATACCTCAAAGCCTCTATTAGTAGAGATTGCATAATACACAAAATATAATGGTGTGATTTATTCATGCTTGACACCTATGTAGAAGGATAAGACCGGAGGATTGCAAGTTCAATTCATATGTGGGCAACTGAGTGAGAAACTTTTACAATAAAAACTGAAAAGAGGCTGTTGACACACACACACACACACACACACACACACACACACACACACACACACCACATTGAAAAACAAGTAAAAAATCCGAACCCTCAATTAACCAATCAACCAAAAAGCCAGCAAGTGTTTAGAAAGCAACAACAAAAACCTGTGATTTCTTGCTTCCTACTGTGATTAACAACTTTTGTAGTTTTTGCTCCAGTGTTGCTGAACTTCATTAATAAATGCTTCCTTGTCCTAGTGACAGGTCTCACTTCATACTCCACTCGGAAGTATCGTTCTCAGGAGTGGGTACTCGATTTCTAAACTCTAGGGATTGAGTTTGTGCAGGTGATTTGAAGTTGGTTAGATTGATGTTCATCAAGAATCAGAATCGCAGATTTAAGGCTTTACTCAAGGGATTGAAGTCATAATCCAGGCCTAGTGGCTTCCACCTGAAATCCTGGCACTTTGAATGCTGGAACAAGATGGTTGCTGTGAATTTGAAGCCTGGTTTGCATACTGTGTTCCAGGACAGCCATAGCTCTACAGTGAGAGACTATCTCAAACAAAGCAGACATAACAAAACTTAAAACAGCACCAGGTAAAAACATTTCAAACCAAATTCGGTGTCAGGTGTCAAATTCTGCCACAGTATTTGACATACTGTGTCAGTGTGTTAATGGCAGATATTTTTCTTTAGTTTTGCACCACCCAAATCCTTCAACTAATTTTTTTAACTGTATTCAAAGTTGATACAAATCTCATTTATTTTTCTGTATTTGAATTTTTTACAGAGGTTGACTGAGGAGTTGGGAGACTGACACTATGATGTCTTTTGTGGCAACTCACTTACCTGTAGCATGTGCCTTGTCTCTGTTTAGTCACACCCAGTGGGGTTATTTGTTTGTTAGACAGTTTCATGTAGCCCAGGCTAGCCTCATCCTGTAGCTAATGATGTCATTGAACTTCCTATCCACATGCTTCCATCTCTGGAGTGCTTCTAATGCCTGGTTTCTGTAGTATTGATTGAGTCTATAGTTGGCATGGGTTAAGCAAGCTCTTTACCAACACAGCTGCATCCAGCCTGGTACCCAGTCCTGAAAGAAATAGGATCATGCCCTGTGTAGATCACCACTTAATGAGGATGTCGTTTTGATCATGCAGACATTTAACTTCTGAGGTAGAATGGGAAGCTCTTGCATAATGCATTCCTAGCTGAATGCCTCCTTATATATGAATACAATGAAAGTATTGTAAAATGAGTAGAGTCTGCTGTGCCCATCAGAGCAGGCATCATGGGGATTTGTGCCAAAGAGTGGATGGAGCAGGTAAAGGGAGCTGATGGAGGACTGTTAACAGAGCGTACCCAATAGGACCAGAAAGGAGACACCCTTGTGTTTGGATGTACAGAAAAGTTGGTCTTGAGCAGCTGTCCGATGTGGAAATTCAAAACCCAGGTATGAGTAGGAAAACAAAAGACAAAGACTGATAGATGTCATTAGCAGTCATTTTAAGGATCCTTTGAAGTTGAAAGGCAGATACAGAATCTCCAGAGAGACCCGAGTTCTGATAAACAGGCTCTGTGCATCTGCCTGTGTTTCAGTTTGAGAAGGAAAGTTATTTGGTGCAATCCTAATGTTATTAGTGCTAGAATGTCTGTTCTTTGTTTATGTTAATGATGAACAACACATGGAACACATGGAAATGAGTTTAAAGTAGCTTTAAAATGCAAAGTTAAAATTTTGGGTAAGAACTGCTTTGCTTGCTTGCTGCTTTTTTTTTTTTTCATATTTTGGGAAAGCGATGCCTTGGTGTCTCTCCAGGCAATGACCACTCCCGCATGTTTGTAATGTGCAGCAGAAGGGATTGGAGTCGTGTCATCTAGGTCAGTGTGGATGTTAAATTTACTGCCGTGACTTTGGTAAAGGTAAAGAGGGCTGCTCTGGTGTCTCTGGCGCTGGTCAGAAAATCTGCATGTCTGTACATGTGCAGTGAGCTAAACCGTGACACCTGTTTCCTGCATATGATTCCCACACTTGAAATTTTAGATCCATTGTGCTGAAATTTGTTTGTTTCATATACATGCAAAATGAACAAAATCTAATGTGCAGATTTCCTCATCGCTTTTTGAACTTTCAAATTGATATTTAAAATAAGTGTACATACTTCTGGGTTGTGTTCTGATTTTTTTGCTCTCATCTAATATGTGATCTTTGTGACTGGTGTCTAACAGAACATAGGGTGGCATTCCACTTGGTTTGTAGCCTTCATTATTGCTCCACCTCTTAACCTCTCTATGCCTTCCTGCCTAATGCTTTCCCTCGTTTCCTCTGTCTATACTTCCTTCCATCCCTTCTTCTTCTTTGTTTTTTTTGTTTGTTTTTGTTTTGTCTGGACTTTATATAGCCCAGGCTGACTTTGAAGTACTTACCGTCCTGCCTCAGTGTCCCAAGAATGGTTTATAGATACGCATCACCACACATAGTTCTCAGGTCTTATTTATTTCTTTTGTAATATTCCTAAATTTTATGGTCATTAGACATGTGTCTGTTAATTGGTTAACAGATAATACTTTATGTATCCTTCTAGAATGTGTGGTTGATGCTTTGATGAAACTGAGTATATGTTTTTATGTGTATGAGTGTTTTTGCTCAATGCCCTTGAGGTTCAGAAGAGGGCTTTAGATCCTCTGTAACTGGAGTTGCAGAGTTTTGAGGTCCGCCATGTGGAAACATGGAATTGAGCCTTCATCCTCTGCAAGTCAACAAATCCTCTTACTACCGTGCTGGGTCTCCAGCCCTGAAGCCTCACATACTCAAGGTAGCATCTTTCACTGTGGGCTCGCCTGGGCACCTTTGTTAAAGGTCAGCTGACTGAGGCAGGGCGACAGTATAATTAGTGGTGTTGCTCACCTCTAGCCTCTGGCCCAGCACATGGGAGGAAGAGGCCTGTCTGATCTTCATAGCCACAGGACTGAGAGTGGTGAAGTCGTAGTAACCTAAATGTGCTCAAGTTTGTCTCTGGTAGGAACAACCTTCTGGCCTGCCGTCAGGCTTTCTGCAGAACTTTCAGTTGTTTACTCAGACAAGGAACTAGGCCAGGCTGGCCTCACACTCACTGCAGCCCTGCCCTCAGCCTGCTGAGTACTCAGATTACCTGTGTTAGCCACCACACCAAATGCAATGTTATAGGAGTTGCTGGGGGCTCTTAATTCTATCTTCATTGCCTTCAGTTGCCTCTGCTCACTTTGTTAAGTGGCTCGTAAACATCCCCTACACCCTTCACTTGTTTTCAGAGTTTACCTGGAGATCAGTTAATTGTTAGTTAGTCATACTTATACAGTTGTGATGGTGCTGGGTGGCTGACACCATCTTGGTCTACTTGAGTTCCTAAGAACCTAGAACCAGTAAGTAATTTGTCTTCCTGAGGTTGCAATCCCACATGGGAAGAAGATAGGGGCTACTATCTAGTGTCATTTGAACTAGTTATGGGAGCTGATTTGAATTTAGGATGTTTAGACTTTTGATTTTTTTTTTTTTGAGATAGTAGTTCTGACTGGTCTCGAGACCACTTTTGGCATGTCCTGTAAGTCTTGATGTTCCTGCCTCCACCTCCCTTTTTGATCTTTAATGACAATTCTGGAGATTAGCTACCTCAAATGTGATGTTAAGCATTCAAATGTCTCATTTTAGTAGGAGCAATTTCAAATATACAAGTGCTGCATAGTGCACGGAGAGAATTGATGTGTTGTCTCTGTACATCTTCAGGATGCCCTTGTTCATATATGCCAGCATACATATGCCTTGAGCAATGACAGCAACACCACCGTTCCCTAGAGATTCCACAGTAAAGAGAAGGGAACTGTCTTTAACCCTGTGTAACCCTAATCAAGTGTATATAAAGTGATAAACAATAAATACATCATAGAACCATTTATTGCTAGTCCTAGCTGGCACTGGGCCCAAGATGAATGAAATGGAGTGCTAATTCAAGCATATAGTGTTATCTAGTTTTCCAGAATCTCTCTGCCAAGGTATCCTTGAAGTTCCTTTTTTTTTCCTTTGAAGGTTATTTATGTTTATTGGCCACATTACTTTGCATTTTTCCCATCATTGGCATTGCATCATTTTCTTACTGATATGTTTCTGTGTGGTTTTAATTGATCTCTTAACCTTAACTTCTTGCATTTACTATATGCTTTCTATCCTCGCCAAAAATTCTTTTTAAATTTATGAACTTCAACCTTAAAGTCATTTCCTTCTAACTTCATATTGTTCTTCAGGGATAACAGTGTAAATGCTTTTTAGTAAAAAGTGGTTACAGATTTTTCTGTGTCAGTGGAGCAGAGCTCATCCATCAGGAAGGTAAACAAGTGAAAAAAATAGGTCATTTAAGTATTAAAATAATGAATACTGGACCGGATATGGTAGCACACACCTTTGATCCCAGCACTCAGTGGATAGAGGCAGGCAGATCTCTATGAGTTTGAGGCCAGCCTGGTTTACATAGTGAGTTCCAATACAGCCAGGAGTATATAAAAAGACCTTAACACTGAACACTATTATTTGGATTTTATGAGGTTTTGAAAAAAAATTAAACATTTGATTTTTTCTTTTATTAAGAAATATTGCATTAAAGTTATTAAATTTCTTAATAATGCTCTTTGGAACTTGCAGGCTGTTATCCTTGTCCTGGGCCAAACATGAATCCCATTGCTCTTGGGAGCCGCTGGCTTGCTTATGCAGAAAACAAGGTAAGGCACAGCCCAGACTTGGGTTAGTTATAATGGAGCAGGTGTGGAAGGACTGTCTCTACTCTGTATTGATGCTCTGTTGTGAATACCACTAGTGAATGTTTTGCAAGGTTTTACCTGTACATCCACTAATCTGACCCTTAAGGATTCGTAGCTCAGTCTGGCGGGTCATACCTCTGATTCTATTACTTGGGAGGCAGTGTTTGGAGGATAACCTCAAGGTCTAGGCTAACTTGTGGTGCCTAGTCCAGCCATACATAGTGAGCCCTTACCTCAGAGAGAAAACTCACACTTTTTCTTTGTTTTATTGTGACAGAGTGTCTTCAGCTCAGGCTGGATTTGTGTCCCTGTCCTCTTGCATCCACCCAGGTGCTAGGACTAGCAGCATATGTTACTATCTGATAGCTGTCCTTAAACAACGGCTTTGTAGATTCTTGGTGTTCTAGTCTGGCTTCTGCCTAGAGCTGCTCCCCTAGAGATTGTTTAATATTGATATGAAGCACTGCAGCTCACGGTCACACTGATACTTTCTTTTTTTTTTTTAAAGATTTATTTATTTATTATGTATACAGTGCTCTGTCTGCACATGTGTGCTTGTTGGCCAGGAGAGGGTACCAGGTCTCATTATGGATGGTTGCTGGGAATTGAACTCAGGACCTCTGGAAGAACAACCAGTGCTCTTAACCTCTGAGCCATCTCTCCAGCCCACACTGATACTTTCTAAAAGACAACAATTTGCAGGAATAATCTTGAAACCCGTCTCTTGCATAGATTGGAGTCACGGGGCATGGGACAATTTTACTGGCCTTATATGGTCAGCAACTAAACCCTATCGTGCAGCTGTTTGCTGTAATGATTGTAGCACACACGCCCTTGTTGGATATGGATATGTATCAGTTAGTAACTTGGCTTACCAAGATTGCCATCGTATGTAAAAGTTGCTATATATGCCTTTATATCTAAGCATTTTATTTATATACAATTCAATGTAAAACATAAATTTTGATTTTATGCAAGAAGTTATAATTTTTTTATGTCATTTAGGACTGTAAATATAGAATAAAATATAAAAGTATTGTTGGCTTTGAGGATTAGCATTTTTGGTTTCGTTTTTCTTGGTTACATGATTATTATATCTTGAGAATATTATGAACTAGTGCAAAGTCGTTCTTGACAAAATCAGGATGTGGTACTTCAAATACTTGATGAACCCACAGAACTCGTAAATCAACTGGCCTCTGGAATGTGCAGAATCAAGACTGGGCTGATGAAAATAATTTTTCTAGATGAAGTTCTTAATTCCTTTTCCAAAAGCCTGTCTACAAAAATTAAGATATTGTGCATGTTACTGAGTGCTCTATTTACACTTCTTCTTGTCTGGCCTCTTCATTTTCCCATAAAAATTGCTCTTTTCAAACAATACAAGAGCCACACAGTTAAATGGAGTGACATAATGGTGTCTCCTAATGTTTATATCTGTAATGCATTTCCCGTGAGTGCTGGAGACATCCGCGGAGAAAGTGTATAAACCATCCCTTGGCGCTGGCCATTATATTCCCACATGTGGAAAGCTGCACATTTGGAGTTGGAGGTTTAATTAGCTACCTGTTTTTGAGAGGGAGCAACTCCCTTGAAAGTTCGATTTTGTTATCTGTCAATAGTATTTCCTGTCATATGCAAGTGTGTGTACGTGTGTACGTGAGTGCCGGTGCCAGTGTGTGTGTGTGTGTGTGTGTGTGTACACGTGAGTGCCGGTGCCTGAGGAAGCCAGAGCTGTTGGAACCCCTGGAGCTGTGAGTTCCAGGAGGTTGTGAGTCACTGAGGTGGCTGCTGAGAACAGAACTTGGGTCTTTTGCAAGAGCAATGTGCACCATATCTCCAGTCTCCTTCCTATCCTTTCTAAGGGACAGAATCATTAGAAAGTCAGCTTTGGCCTGTCGTGTGATCTTCATACTCAGGTGTGTTTCTTTATAGAACTTCTCAATGGATCATGTCACTTACAGAAATGCATGCATATTTGTACACCTACCTGTGTATGCATATTTGCATGGTGTAGAAATGAGGTGTTCACATTGGTACTTGCACCAAATTCTCTCCTGTTTCCATTCATAGTCATATGCCCCTCTCTTTGCGTGCTATCCTGGAACGTCAGCATCTATTCGTGTGTTCAGTTCCTGTAATTCACAAGTAGCCCTAGAATTGCTCGCCTGTACTGCCTAACAGGCACACGAGACATGTGCCTGCTGCCACCGCTGCCTAAAACTGCAGGTGTACTGTTCAACTCTCTTCTTGGGGGTGTTTCTTAGGTTCCTTTTAAATAATATTTCTTGTGTGTGTCTGTGTGTGTGTGTAGAAATGTACACAAGCACGTATGGAGGCTGGAGAACAACTTGGAGGAGTTATTTCTCCCCCTTTACCATGTAGGTTCTGGATATTGAACTGAGGCTTAGCAGTAAATCCCTTCATCTACTAAACTGTTTTGTATTTATTTTTATTTATTGACCATCTTTCCCTATTGTCCTTCATCCATTTTGATTAGACTTTCATTTAATGTGTAATTGTAAACATTTTTGTACACATTTGTGTATATATTGTATTCATATTTTATGTCCCAATGTACCTAGTACATGCATGTAGTTATTATGAAAGATAACATAATATATTTCTTCCTTAATGATCATTTTTCTTAAGAGTATTTCCTGGAATTTAGTTCATTTGTATACTGATTTTGTTTAAAAATGATATTTTTTTATGATAAATATGGAATTTTTTTCAATGCTGTGCTTTGACCATATTTTCATGTAAAAACTCTGACTCAATAGTAGTTAAATGGAAATGGTTAAGAATAATGTTTGTTTTTCCATTTGTCTTTGAATATTTAGACTTAATTTAATACGAAAACCTTTACTTTCTCTTTACATAACTTTAACAATTTTATATCTGTATAGGGTCTGCTCTTGTCCTGATGGTGAGATGGCGTGGTGGGGAAGGGTGTTTGCTGTCTGCAGTGCTGTCTTTCTCTGCTTGAGCAGCAGGAGGCAGCAGAGGAATGATTTTCATAATTCTTTGACTTTGTGGTTGAATGAACAAGCCATTCTTTCCATTAGCTAAAATAGTTACTTTCCACATCTTATTCTGAGACAAACAAGTTTGCTGATCAGAAAAGTTGAACTCTATTCGTTGTGGCTTTATAGATATTGTCTAAAAAATAGCTTGGCTTCATGGATCAGACTTAAGGTGTTCTAGCCTGCTACATTCATGTTACTTTGAGGGATTTAAACATGTGAGTTAGAAATAAAAGGACCTCATGGTAGTTTGTGCTGCAGAGCACGGTTTTCGGTCATCTGAGGGTGTTTCAAAATTTGTTTATTAATTTCACAGACTTTGAAAACACCTGTTACAATATCATGCTGTTCACAGGCCCTGCTGCTGTCATTTAACTTTCAAAATGTTTCATGAGAATCTTAATTATGATTTTATTATGTAAATACAAGAGTGTTGTTGCCAGTGAAGAGTTTGGTCCTGAGTTTTTGCCGAGCGAATGAGAATCAGAATTGTGATTCATAGTGACAGTTCCAAGCTGCAAGTACAGTGGTCCTTCTGAGGTGGACAGTTAGTGTATGTGCATACGTGGTGTGTGCACACTCTGTCCACTTTCCCACAGACACAGTGGACATGCAGATAGGCTAAAATGTTTTGCCTGTTCTTTTAGGTTTCCTTTTATAATCCTTGTAGACAAATTAAGAGGAACAAACATCCAATTTGCTAGTATGTCAAATATTTAATGTTAGGAAGTTATGTGTAAGTCCTTTGATTATGTTTTTTAAATTTATTTGTGGAAAGGTTGCCAGAACCGGAATCCTACCATTTCAGAGTTTATGAATTCTTAAAGCCCGTTCTTCGTGTAATTAAAACCATAGTTGAGCATGAAACTGCCTGAGTGGCACCAGAAGATTATAAAACGGGGTAAACGTGTCTCAGCAGGGCTTTTAGCTGTTTGGTCTGCAGTTCACTCATGCAAACATTCCCACCCACCATCATTAGCATGCATGGTAAATAGCCGCCATCTAATAGCATGTAGAGTTAAACAGCTTAATAGAAAATGACTCTGCCGTTCTCTTCTCCCCTTCTCCCCTTCCCTAGTTGATTCGATGTCATCAGTCGCGCGGTGGAGCCTGTGGAGACAACATTCAGTCTTACACTGCCACAGTCATTAGTGCTGCTAAAGTGAGTACCTCAGAAGTTGCGGTTATGCCGGTAATGACCAGCCTTAACTGCTGAATCGTGATGCGATGGTCCATTCCACTTCCATTCACAAGTGTAGAGTAAATGTAAGAAGTCAGAATGTTTTGCCATTCTGTGATTTGGAAGTTAATCTTTCAAGGTTAATAGTTCTTTTATTGTGAAGATTGTATGGTTTGCACTTCTCCATTAAAAACCTGGATGTATTTCAACTCGCTTCAGGTCTGCTAACTAATTAATACCATATTGCAAAGAACTGTACATGTTTTAAGTTGCGACTTGGGTTCTTTTTTTCTGGATTTGCATCTTCCTACCTACACGAACAGGCTTGTGAACATCCTTTTGCAGCTTTGAACATTCGTGAGTCTTCTTGACTTCAAAAATTCCCCTGGCACATTCCAAGATTCTTTCATAGTTAGAGGCCGGCCCCTTGCTGTTTGTCAAGTGACTTCTTCTGTGTGTGCGGGTTAGTTTTGATGATGTCTGGTAAACTTTGTTGATTATAAGGTATTCTTACCACCACCATCCGTTTGAATTGTGAAGGCTACAACAGAGCAATTCTAATAATAGGGATGACAGTGAATCTGAATGACAGCATGCAATAGACAGCTCACTGCTCAGAGGACAACAGTCTAAAGTCAACCACAGAGAGGGAATCAAAGGTCACACTGTTTTATGTTAAATGCAAAAATACTTTAAGACTGTCACAAATGCTTGCATGATGTGTGTTAGGATGTGTCCCTGGGCCCACTGAGAGAAGTGTAACACATGGTTCACCCTTGCAGAGCAAGGAAAAGTCTTTACAGCTCAAAGTACTATGTGTTCATGTTTCTCTGTTTCTTGCATATAAAGACAGTGCTTAGGCAAACTCTTGAGTGTCCTCTTGTGAGTTCATCTTACTAATTTAACAAAGAGATGCAGCTTTGACTGTGAGACGCCTGAACTTAACTGTCATTCATACATGTGAGTCTGGACAGCACGTCACTTTCTGCTTTCGTTTGTTGTTAGCTTTCTTCTCCAGGGGCCCGGATTCATTTTCAAAGTGTTTTGTTGTGGGTATATGGAAGCAAGGCTAGAGTTAAGGACTTCAGAATTATAAGTCTGAACCCCTAACCTTCCCCCACTTCTTATGGGGATATGGGTGGATATTCAGGTCTTTCATGTTTAGGCTCTAAGAAATTATGTTTAACAAGCTATGTTGCCTTACAACTGTAATCCTAACACTTGGGAGGCTGAGGCAGGAGGGTCACTGTAAGTTCAGGCTAATCTTGGGTCCAGCCTGAACCACAGAGGATGACACCGAGTACTCCTGTTTGTCTCCCCAGAGAAATTAACTTTATTTTGACTGATTAATTTTCTAAAGGGCACTTATCACTAGTTAGATGATTAGAACTTATATGTATTAGGCATGTAGTATATTCCTGTTCTGTTACCACAGCTCTTGAAGTTAAATTTTCAGGTACATTTTCAGTTTAAGGATGCATTAAATCATGAGTTGATAAATTATATTTATAACTAACTCAAATGGTGTCATTAAATAATTTTGAAAACAAACAACAAAAAGGAAAATTTATATAGTACTCATTTGTTTATTTGGGTTTGTGTTTGAAGGCATGAGTATTTTAAATATTGCCAAATTGTTTAAACATTTCATTTATGTTAATTTTGTTGTTTTTGAGACAGGCTTTCATGTAGTCCCTGCTTGTCTCAAACTCACTAGGGCTGAAGGTGATCGTGAAATTCTAATTCTCCTGCCTCCATCTCCCTGACACAAAGTGATCCTTAATTTATAACCGCTATGTGGATTTTTTTTTACCTATAAAGTATTTGAAAGTTGCAGCCATTTCTACTTCTATTGATAATTTACCCCAATAAGTTACTAGGTAGTATTTGTTGTTAAGTTGACCTCACAAGGAATGCAGTAGTTGGAAAATGCATGGTAACCATGTGGATTGCTGTAACTCAAGCCTCTTCCTTTGTCCTGCCACTGCTACATTGTACTATGGTCACCGAACTTTTTTGACCAGAGTGTATTAATTTTTTTTTTCAAGACAGGGTTTCTCTGTATAGCTTTAGCTGTTCTAGAACTCACTCAGTAGACTGAACTGGCCTAAAGCTCACAGAGCTCCTTCTGCCTCTGCCTCCCTCATGCTGGCATAAAGGCACGCACCACTACTGCCCAGCCAGTGAATTAAATTGACTTGAAAAAAATTCTCCTTAAAGGGGCTGAGGAGATGGCTTAGTGGAGAAGGTGCTTCCCGTGCGAGCCCAAGGGCTTCTCCTCACACCCCATGCCTCCTCTTAAGAACTGTTGTAACCTTGAGGGCCCTGTGTGTAACTCCAACCTGGGGAGTGTGAAGAGAGGAGGGCGCCCTGGGGCCTTGCTGGTCAGGCATTCCAGCCTAAACAGCTAGCTCTACGTTCAAGTGAGAGAGCCCGTTTCAATCAAAAAGTAAGGTGGCGCACATTAGAGCAAGGCTCCCGCTTCTGTCTCTGGCTTCCACGTGGGTATTCTTAGCCCTGCACTCTCACTTGAATGTAATGACTCATCACTAAAACTGTCTTTGGACATTGGGTTTCTTTGTGTTTTAGTGTTCTATCTATAATTTAAGGAAGAGTTATGATGAGCCAGTGGTGGTGGTATACGCTTGTTTTCTCGGTTATTTGGGAGGCTGAAATAGGAGGTTCACTTGAACTGAGAAGTTGGAGACTTGCCTGTGCAACATGGTGGTACTACAGCCAGTCTGTTTCTATCTCTATGTCTCTGAATTGCACAGACACAAATACAAACGTAAATAAAAGAGGATAGAGAATTAACAATGCAGTAGTAAATGCAATAAGAGCAGTAAGATTGTGTCCAATTTTGTTTAAATGATGAAGCGTTACTTTAATAAAAATTGATAAGACCATGAAAAAATGAAACCCGTGTTAGATCTGGCAACTGATAGGTAAATATAGTAGGAAACACTAACACTATATAGAATAGGGTACAGCACACTATATAGAATAGGATACAGAAAACTATATAGAATAGGATACAGCATACTATATAGAGTAGGATACAGCACACTATATAGAATAGGATAAAGCACACTATATAGAGTAGGATACAGCACACTATATAGAATAGGGTACAGCACACTATATAGGATACAGCACACTGTATAGGATACAGCACACTATATAGGATACAGCACACTGTATAGAATAGGATACAGCACACTATATAGAGTAGGATACAGCACACTATATAGAGTAGGATACAGCACACTATATAGGATACAGCACACTATATAAAGTAGGATACAGCACACTATATAGGATACCTCACACTATATAGAATAGGATACAGCACACTGTAAAGAATAGGATACAGCACATTCCCTTTGTAATGTTTCTACAGTGTGCCCATGATTGGCACTCAAAAACAGGTGAGCTTTGCCACACTTAAACTCTTATAATAAACATGAACTCTTATAGTAATGGTGGCTAGTCCTAGTTTGGGTTCTATTCTTGTCAGTGCTGCTTCTCATTTCTTCTGTTTGGTTCCTTATTTATCAGAATTTACCCTAGGATATTTTCAAAGTTCTATTGGACCCAAGAAGAGGTCAGCTCTTCTATTGTAACCCCTTCCCCCCACACACACCAAGAGGCAGGGCCACAGACAATGACATAGAATCACAACCACACAGGGTACTTTGAAATCCACCAGGCTAACCTGGTGCCTTCCTGCCTCAGCCTCCCAGGTTGTTAGGATTACATGTGTCACTATGCCCAGCTATATTGTGCATTCCTTTTATGTTTCAACCCAAAGAATGGAACGGTATAAACAGGTAGCCCCTGGCAAGGTTAATTCTAATACATGACTTCCTTTACAGTTTAACATTCTTAAAAGTGTTTTACTTTTGAGACCACTACTCTTTAGCCGTGGATGGGCCAGAACTGAGGCCATACTGGCCTCAACCTTGGAACAGTCCTGAGTCTTAATTTTTGCTACATCTTCACCCTATCGGGTATCTGTTTTGTGTTCCTGCCCTATGAGATCATAAACTACAGTAGGAACAAATTAGAACCAGAATAGGCCAGGACAGTGGTTAAAGATCAGATCTAGACAGAGAGCAGTATAGATTTGAATTTTAGCTATATCATTATTTGTTAACTGTTTAAGCTATGTTTTATTTAAATTTTAGCTTCAATTTTCTCTTCTGGAAGATTGAGAAAGCCTAGACATAGCTAATGTTACGAGCTTTGATAGTCAGGTTTCCTGAAACTGTCAGAGTAAGAGTCTATGTATCATTAGGTTGTTTTTGTTGCTTGATAAGGGGTTTCAAGTTGTTCTTTCCAGCGCTGGGATTATAGGTGTGCACCACCACACTGGAGATCAAACCTAGGGCTTCATGCTTACTAGGCAAGAAATCTACCTACTGAGATAGATCTACTGCGTTGGTACTAGGTGCCTTACCCCAGTAAGTGGAAGATGAATGTATGTTCCAGGTGGTTTCTTTATTTGCTCTTAATTTACCAGGCAGCTTTAACTTTGGGCTCAACTTTCCCCACCGACCACAGAGGCTGCCCCAGTGGCCGATGGAGCACTGACATCACTGGCATCACTGGCTTATCGCTACTCTGACTTGGCCTCCACGACCTTCTGGGGATCTAGACTCAGGTCTGAGCCCCTGTGCAGCAAGCACTTACCAAATTCCGTAGTCCTATTACCAGTTTTTAATTGAAAACTTTCCTTAGGATTTTCCCCCTTTTCTTTCAATTCTCGAGTAAATTGCTAACTAGATGATGAGCAAACTTGTTTACCATTTACTCATTAAAATTTAAGGCTGGTGAGATGACTTTGTAGAGCTGATCCCTAGAACTCCCCGTGGAAGTGGAAAATAGATTCCTTATTATTCCTCTGGCTGCCTCACACAGGCCTCGGAACATGGGCATGTATACACTCACATATACACTAAAAGGAATAAATTAAAAAATTGAAAGGGTGTGTATCCATTTATATAAAGTGTACATTGAACCTTTCCAGCTGAGGAGATGGCAGAGCAGGTGAGGGCACCGCAGTGACAGGAGCTCAGATTGCAGCCCTATGTCCGGCAGCTCATGACATCCTGTCACTCCAGCTCCAGTGAATCCTCCGCCCGTTTCTGGGGACCCAAAGCACCTGCTCTGAGGTGAAACTACCCACCAGAGATTAACAAAGAGATCAGTTAAAGAGAGTATAGAAGACTATACTCTTTTCCATCATAATGGGATAGTTACACAAATCTACCAATTAACTCTCACGTTTTTGTGAAATATTTGCTAAATGTTGTGCGATCAAAACCCAAATCCAAGGTAATACAGGCATTCTGGTGAGATATGCCCGGACCCATCCATGGCTAAAGAGTAGTGGTCTCAAAAGTAAAACACTTTTAAGAATGTTAAACTGTAAAGTATACTTAAATAAGATAACCAGCAAAGTTCTGCCTGCTGAATTCAAGCAGAAAGATAAAACTTAGAGATGACTGAAACCAAGGGGGTGGGGGTGGGGCAAAAACCCACCAATCAATTGTAACTGTTTTGTTTTGTGCTAAAATCTCAAACTGCAGTGATTATAAAACACATTAGTGTTTCTCAATTAGCAGCTGAACGTTTGTTTCAATAATTCACAAGAAACGACTTACACCGAATCTGTTAGTGTTGTCGAGTAAGCCTCTGAAGGACCAAGAGAACCAGGCGCCACGGTGTATTGATGTGAGCAAACAGGAAGCCTGATTAACCTCCCAGATGCCTCAGCTGCGGCACTCTCGCCGTCAGTGCTAATGGAGCTGTTCCCACGCAGAGGTGGCCAGACCTTTATCAGCAAGACCTTTCAGCATGAAAGTGTCTGGTTGTGTATCCTCCGTGTTTGCCCCTGAGCATATCAGCTCATGCTTTTATGCCAACGAGTATGAATAAAAGTGGGGCACATAAATAGTGGAAAAAATGCAGAAGAGCAAGCCATGAGGCAATGGGAAAAGTCACCAGGGAAACAAGAAAAAGGCAGTCTATTTCAGTCATCTTGGCATGAAGACTTGATGTGATTTGGAAAGAACAATGACTATTGGCAAAACCATCTCTTCTTCTTTTTTAATACAACCCCTAAACTTCATAATCACCAAATCTACAATTTGTGTTGTAAGTTATGAGAATGTAAGATTCATTGCAGCCATCTAATTAGGGCTGTTTGTGAGTGCTCTCTGCATCAGTGAAGACTTTGATTTAGAATGAACATAAGTAAACTGGGTGTGTTGGCACACTCTGTTAATCCCAGCTCTTGGGAGACAGAGGTAGGAGGATCTCTGTGAGTTCAAGATCAGCCAGGTCTGGTTACACAGAGAAACAACATCTCAAAAGAATGTACATAAGTAAAAATTTTACAGTCTTTTTTTTTTTTTCTCATGAGATAGGGCAGGGTTTCGCTCTGTAACAGTCTTGGTTGTCCCAGAACTCTCTTTGTAGACCAGGCTGGCCTTGAATTCACAGAGATCCGCCTGCCTCTGCCTCCCTAGTGCTGGGATTAAAGGTGTGCGCCACCACCACGTGACTCACCAAAGTTGTTCTTAAGGACTGTCTGGTGTTGGAATGAAGCACACTTTAAGCACTTCCTGCGAGTGGCAGATGTGATGCTGTGGCAGTCACACTCCTTCCCACATTATCTGAGTAACTAATGCGTACATAGACTTGATGCAAACCTAGGATGCGGGCAAGGCACCAACTGAGAACAGAGAAACTTTCTGTGGAGCTGATAAGTTGGATGTGTCTTTGCACAATCTGAAATGTTTAGATTCTTTAAAGGTTCTTCAATCCTGATTGTTTTGCAAGAGTACTCTCACAGAACAGTACTGTGTCATTAAGGCAGCCGACTATGTGACTATAGCAAAGTGTGAGAGAAATTCATTACAGCCTTTAATCCTATAGACATGGTTCTCTTCCCATGCAGGAAATCGGCCACAGGGTCTCTCGTCATTTTGAACCTTTCTCTGCCCTATCAGTTGTCCCTTATCCATTAGCGCTAATGGCGTTGCGCTCTCAAAACTGTTGTCGTTATCAGGTAACAAGAAAAAACATGGGCATTTTTATTAAATCAATTGACCACTGTGGGGTGAAAACACATTAATATATGACTGTTAGGAGAGAGCGAGTAAACATAAGTCAAGATTTTATAATTGTAATCAAATAATCTCATTTAAACAATTTCTTAGCACCAGAATAGAAAATTAACCTCTTTTACAGTCTACATAAGGAAATTCAGATTGACTGTTAAGAAAAGCAGTGAGAAAAAGCTGTTCTGAAGTGCTACTCTGAGGTGACAAAAATTTATAAAAGATGATTTGCTTTCAAGGGCTTCAAGTATCTGTGCAATAATAGGTTTTCTCTACAGTGATGTAGTAACAAAAGACAAATATAGCTAGACCTAAGTAAGACACACATATGCACGCGTGCACACACACGTTAGATCATAGGTCCTATTACAGATAATGTGAGACAAACTCTCCCTGAGCTGCAGCCCCTGCCCTAATTTCTATTAACATATATCAGGACAGTCAGATTTATCAATGAGGAAAAATACACGCAGTAGCCTTACTCTCTTGCTTTGAGTGGACTAGTGTTCGCTGGATTACTTCTTCTCACAGATGGGAAAGAGACTTGTCAGCTGCGTCTCCTGTTGGATGTCATTTGTCTTGTACTTACTATGGAGTTAGACAGTACTTCCCATCGTTATTCTTAGTGTGTAGTCTTTTATAATAGCATAGGTATATTTTAGAATTATAATCTTTTCTCACTTAGATATTCTATCAATGTCTCAATCTTTATCTAGATGAAATGAATATAAACTTTGATATATAATATTTAAAAACATTGTCACATGGCCAGCTCCTTTCATATTATGTCATATGCTAAAATATGTAAACTAAGGCGCTGCTGTAAAGAAATGTTATAGTAAATATATAATTGTGCCCCTATTAAATTTAGCAGCTCTGTGCTTGTAATTAGTATCACTGATGTGGTGCATCATCCATGACATTTCCTGGAACTCATGCTGATTTTTCTATATGAGTTTTAAGATCATGTTGAACAGCAGATTGAAAATCTGTGGAGTTTATTGCTATATACATATATCAGATATTGTAAGAGAATAATTGCTTGGGCCTAGGAAATGGATTTGAGTGCACGTTCAGACTTCCCATTTTTTTCTCTTGCCGTGTAGACACTGAAGAGCGGCCTGACGATGGTTGGGAAGGTGGTGACGCAGCTGACAGGCACACTGCCCTCGGGGGTGACAGAAGATGACGCTGCCATCCACAGCAACTCCAGGCGGAGCCCCCTCGTGCCGGGCATCATCACAGTCATAGACACCGAGACAGTTGGAGAGGGCCAGGTAAGAGCCCGCGTGAATGACATTGTGTGCACTGCAGGACGTGGGCCCAAGCTAGAGTCACCCCAAAGAGATGAATCCTTTGTAGTCTTAGAAACAGGTCAGATTTTGTCATCCATTCTAGGAAGCAAGGGACATTTTCACCTTGTTAGTTCAATCATCATCAGTACTTAAAACCTAAAGACATGCTCTCTTCTCTCTCAGAGCACGTGTTTTGTACACACCTTTTTGTGCTCTTGTGTTCACACTGTTTCCTGGTATAATGCCATGTTATAATCTACTCCCCAAGATTAATTCATTTCTCCTAAGGACATGAAAAGACAGGAAAGCAGTTTGAGGAACTGGCATATGTGGGGGAGATAAAATAATTAGCAGTGGTTATGTATGACATAATTTAGTGTATTATATGAAATTCTGTAACTTTTTTTTATTTTAGCTTTTGGAAGATAACGTTTCACTGTTGCCCAGTTGTCAGTGGTAATCCTCCTTCCTTAGTGTTCTGAGTGCTGGGGTTATAGCAGGAGCACCATGCCCAGCTAACACATTCCCTTTTAAACAGTGAAAAACAGGAACAAAAACAAAAAGCAAAACACATGAAAATTTGAAATTACAAACCAGAAATTATACATGACAATAGTATGGGGACTATCTTGTATCTCCAGAGAGTAAGGTATGTCTAGTTAAAAACCATTAGGAAGGGTGGGTCAACAAAGCACTCAGGAGAATTGGCCTTTGTATCTTATGTTCTTGGTAAAGTGCTTTTAGTAAAACTTCATCTACCTCTACACTCTTCAGTCAGGTATGAAATTTTTTTCATGTTATAGTCTCTAAAATATATTTCTAAAAGGACATAATTTCCAAATCTTGTTACCTAAGATTGTCATTATAACATATATAATCTAAAATGTTTCTAGATTGAAAAGTAGTAGGTTTGTGAAGCTTATTGTTAATATAGAATATGTATTCATTTTTTATTCAGAAAAAAATGCTTAGAAAATTTGTTAAGTTTCTGAAGTACTGACCTGTTGTATTGAGGAATCGGTGTCCACTATATATGGGTCAGCATCTTGATTAAAAAGTCCATTTGACAGCTAATGTGTGCTATTTCCGGTAGAAGGATCTAAAGGCACTTTGAGAAAGAGTAGACTTCAGTGCAATTTAAACTAACTTTCTTTGAAATTCTGTGCTGTTAAATTTGGTTGTGTTTTACTTAAAATTTAAATAATGACAATTTTATATGCTTGTATTGATTTTGCTTTTAAAGTATGTGCTAGCAAGGTTTTCTCTTGACTGTTAGGATGGTGGTGGAGAGCATACATTACTTGATGTGGGTAACCACATACATGTGTCCTGGATGTGTTACCTCTAGTTGCAGCTACCCAGGATTTAAGCCCTGGATTTCAGAGGCCAACCTGCAAAAGTTAAGGGATGTGGGAATTATGGAAGGAGGTAAGGGATTTTTGGTTTTGTAATGTGGAAATTAGTGCAGTATAGTTTGTGGATTTACAAAAGTTTATCTTTCCTTGGTGAGCAAATCAAAGAAGCCTATCAAGACTTACCCTATGAAAAATTGTTTTTTCCCACTGTTTGGGAAACATCACAATTTTGCCATTTATATATTTTTAATTTCTAAAGGTAGGAAAGAGATAGGTGTTCAGAAAATAAGTAAGTACTAAGCTAGTATATAAGTGTATTTTTCAAAGGAACCAAAGTTCTGTAGTACAGTGCTGCCTTTTTCATTTTCACGGGTCTGTTTTCTGTAAGACACCTCTGCCTCGGACAGTTTGGAGAACCAGGCTGTGTTGCATTGTACTGCAGAGCATTAAAGGGAGTGTCTGTCACCTCAGAAACTCACCAGCCCTAGCTTGTCCCTTGTCCCTGCCATGCTCCTCCTTCCCGTGTACGTCTAGGGATTATACGTTGTCTTCTGTGATTTAAATCCACCGAGACTCTAATATAGTTTCACATTCACTCTGGCAGCATATAAAATCTGATTCACCATCTTTCTGTTGCTGTATTGATTAATTTGATTTTATGGTGATGGGATCATTGCATGGTAACTGCATTAAGGAGGAATGGATTTAATTGACTTTGTGTCCATTTTCATCTTTGTTACTTTCATGTTTTATTTAAAAGCATTTCTTGACTGGAGAAGTTAAGTGGTATGATTTGCCTTTTACACATTTATGTAATCGAAGTTAGCAATGTGGCAAAACCAATAAGTGAAATAAAATACTTCAGAGTGGTGGCCTAAATGTTAGCCAAGTTTTGCTGCGGACCAGGTATTCTTATATACCTTGTCTTAATTAAAGGTTGTTGTATTGTTTAGTATAGTTAGTGATGCAAATTATGGCTTCACCAGCTTAGATAAGTGTCCAGCTCCTACCTTAGGAGAATCATCATGGCTCGTGATGGTTTTAGGGGTCTGAAGCTTTAGGCACACGATGGAGCAGCACAGAGAACCCTTCCCTGCATGTGTAGTTGTTTGACTTTGTTCATTCTGAAGGAGAACAGTCATGGTACTTCACGTCATCCTTTGACGTGAAGTACCTTTTTAAACATAAAAGATGATCATTCAGGTAGCAAATAGTTCTGATTTATTGAAATACATAGCATTCTTAAGGCCAACAATATTAATGATCTCTGTATTACTTTTATAAATAGAATCAAATTCAAAGGCATCTAGGATTAGATTGAAAGCCAACATTTTTACGGAAATACTTTATGTAAACAGTGGCATTAGAATACTTATATTCAGCCATTATATGGAGAGCTGTGTGTCTTTCTATCTGTCCTTCCTGTGCCTGCACCTTCATGCACATCCATGCATGCTTGTTGTGTCGTTCATGTGTGGTCAGAAGACAGGCTGTCAACGTCAGTTCTTTTCTTCTGTTTGCCGTAAAGTAGTCAGGTTTGTGGGACAAGGATTTTTAACTGCCAAGCCTTCTTAATGGCCCAGTACATGTTTGCTTTGCACAGCCAGAATATACAAACGTAGGAGATTCCTAAATATTTGTCAGTAAATAGTGGATTTGTAAATAAGTCACAGGCAATCAAATAAAAAATAAAAAGTATTTCAAACTTGATCAAGATAAAATGTACTTAAATTTATGGTATAATGTGGAACAAAATGTAGAGATTTCAGTGCTTATTTGGAGAAGTTCTAAACTTGGAAAGTAACACAAAGCAGTGGTGGTACACACTTTTAATCCCAGCATTTGGGAAGCAAAGATGGGGATCTCTGTGAGTTTGAGGCCAGCCTGGTCTACAGAATGAGTTCCAGGACAGGCTTTAAAGATATAGAGGAACCCTGTCCAAAAAGTCAAAATAGATAGATAGATAGATAGATAGATAGATAGATAGATAGATAGATAGAGAGATAGAGAGATAGATGGATGGATGGATGGATGGATGGATAGATAGATGATAGATAGATGATAGATAGATGAATGTAACACAAAGAAGAGTACTTCTTAAAAAATGAAGGGATGCTGGGTAGTGTGGTCACATGCCTTAAATCCCAGCACTTGTGAGACAGAGACGGACACATCTCTGTGAGTTCAAGGCCCATTTGATCTACAAAGCAACTTCAGAACAACTAGAATTGTTACACCAAGAAACCCTGTCTCAAAACTCCAAAAACAAACAAAGCAAACAAACAAAAACAAAGCAAACAAAAATGTCCCCACCCAGAAATGAAGGAGGAAATAATTATCTGAACATAAATGAGAAAAAATAATTTTACAAAATCACAGAAAATAAGTAAATAAGATAAAACAATTATGCTTAGGCTGAATTAGAGGTCTGCCCAGAGAAGTATGACAAGAAGACATTTCATAAAATAGTTTATTAGGACATTTTATTTATTATGTAAAATTATCGAACTGTGAAGATGAAACCAGTGGCCTTTGTGACACATGAATTGAGTCCAATTCCTTTTTGTTACTTGTTGGCTTAGAACTGACACTATCTCTCAGGGCGGGAGTTACTTTGGTGACTACTTTGAGCATCTGTAGGACATGACCAGCGTTCTTATAGACTAGACTCTTGCTTTGCCCCCAGGCTGGCCAGGAATCTTGTCCTCATCTTCCCATGTTTCTGTAACATGCTAGAACAGTATTTTCAAAGTTTCCCCTTTCCTTTCTATAAAATTATATCACAACTCAAAATCCAAGGTTGCTAAGCTGGTAAAGGTGTCTGCTGCCGAGCCTGATGATCCGAGTTTGATCCCTGAGATCAGCTGATAGAAAAGAACTGCTTTCGGCAAGCTGTCTTCCGGCCTATGCTTGTGTGAACACAGAATAATATAATAACACATGAAAAATGTCAAACAGAAAACAAATTGCTATGTGTTATTCTCCATTATTATTTGGTTTATTTGTTGTATTTTTCAATCATAGATCTCTTTTTAATAATTGGGGAAACATTGATTTTTTTTTTAGCAAAGTCTCTCTGTAATTATGTTAAGTGGCTATTTTTAGAGATTATGCGTCCATTGTGAGGTGTGTATCCAGATTGCTGAAGTTTTGTTCACTTAGATCAGAATAACTTCATTGTAGTGCAAGCATCTCCTTGAGGAAGACTGAGGAGTGTGTGTGTGGCCTCTAAGCCATTAGTGACTAAAGTTAACCTTCTTCCTTTCTTTTTCAAAGGTGCTTGTGAGTGAAGATTCAGACAGCGATGGCATTGTGGCCCACTTCCCTGCCCACGAGAAGCCAGTGTGCTGTATGGCTTTTAATACTAGTGGTAAGTTTTTTTTTAAATCCATTTGTTTTATGAGTTTTCTAGCTAATATAATTAGAAATAGAAAATCTGTGATTGGACTGGGTTTGGAGAGATAGCCCACCACTTAAAATCCCTTGCTATACTTTTAGAGGCCTGATCAAATTCTGCTGCCAGCACCCATGTAGTGGCTCACCAGCTGCCTGGAGCTTGAGCCTCAGGGGATCGGACACCCTCTTCAGTCCTCTGTATGGATATATACAAACCACACAAAGAGACACATGGAGCTTGTATATCATAAGTAATAATAGGACCAGTGATCTCTGAATGACTAAGTTTACAGTTCACCCCACTGTAACCACTCAGAACTATTTTAATTGTCTGTAAGCTGGTGTTTAAGCGCTGCAGTGAGGTAGGCATTACTCCTGAAGTCACGTTCATTTTTGCCTTATAGTCATGCCCCAGTATCAGTATTGCAGACTGGAAGCACCAGAGACACATGTCCTTTATAACACGTTTTATTTTTCCACAGGAAATTGTGAAAACTTTTAGTTTTTTCTTTTTCTACTTCTCTTCTGTTCTTCCTTCTGGTCGCTCTGCTAAGTCGTGTAATTATGACTAAAAATGTGGAACGCCCTGTTACCCACTTTTCCTCTAAACTTTTTTATTAAGAAAATATTGACCTCCGAGCTAGAACAGCAGCTTTATAGTCACCCGGTGTTAGGAGCAGTTCTCCTCGGACAGGAACCAGCCAGCTCTTACTATAACGATGAACAGAATGGTTGTCGGTTTCCTGGCTTGCATTCCGTGCTGGGCTTTGTGCTAGGTATTATTGATACTGGTGGAAATAAGTGAAATCTAAAATACATGATCTCTAAATAAAAGATGAAACTGGTGCTTGTTTCAGCGCTCATTTGGTCCTTGTAAATTTATAGGTTCAGGTCCTGCTCATTTGGGTGATGCATCTGAAAGTCTTAGCATTTTTATCTTATTTTTCAGAAATGACCATATCAGTTGGATTGATGAGAAAATCTGGTTTTTTCCCATTTTAAAATAAAGAATGATAACTAGGCAGTCATATTGAGCACTTGTTTAATCTCTTTTCTGATATTCTAATTAATCATTTTTCATGAAGAGAGATTTTTATTATAGTGGTTTATCAGTAAGATTGATTTAATTAAGACAGACAGATACCTATTGAAATTCTCTGTGTGTCGGGGGAATTAAGTTAAAATTGGAGACATGCTTTGAAAATTTGTTCGCTTGTGTTCCTCTGTTTTGGGTAACCAGCATGACTCACTGTAATTCTGTCGGTTATGTCCACTTTCCATGGATTATTGTGTATTTCACATCACCCCTGAGCCGTTCAGATGGGGGAAGCTACCTGTTCTGTCTGTGAAGTTGCTTTATACAAAGAATATACTACATGGTGTAAAGATAACTAGTCATCTTTGTCTGCAATGGGCTTTCTGTGGTTTCTTTTTGAAGCCTTCATCTTTCCCTTTGCTGTTTGACTTGCATATATGATAATCTTAAAACAGAAGTATTATGTTTACTTCTCTGTGTTCCTAGAGCATTGTGTTTATAAGAATGATATAATTTATTTGGAGACGATCACTTGTTTAGATATTTCTTTCCTTTGTGTACTTGTAGTTTCCTTCCAACTCTGGATGTGCTGGCATCCAATCCATCTTTATGTCTGGTGCCTAGCAAGTATCTCAGTGTATTGGCATGCTCACGGAATAAATTATTTTAACTTGTCCCCGTTTTAGATTCATGGCACTATAATTTATTCTCTGCTCTGGAAATAAAAGAGACTGGTCAATATAAAATTTAGGGATTTTTTTTTTTTTGAGGTCTTCGACTAGACAGTGCAGGCACCGCTAGGCAATGCTGTCACTGAGCTGTGTGCTCAGCCGTTTTTTTTTCTTTTTTCTTTCCTCATTTTTCTTTTGATATTTGACCAAAGCTCCCTTGAGCTGCTTTGTAATTTATTCACTTTGATACGGTTCATGTGCCTAGAGCTTCCTTACACTGGTTGCCTATAATTTCATAATAGCCATCTGTGAGGCTTGTTAGTATCATTGAAAATGCTTCAGAAAGTAGCTGCTGGCCCAGATGGGCTGATTGTTCTGAGTCGATGCTCCACTTAAGTATTTGTTCAGATGTGCATTTTCTTACACGTTTGCTTTTATTACATAATTATTTGAATACTGAATATTGTTGGGAATTACTACATAGTACACACACACACACACACACACACACACATACACAACCTCACGATCAGAGTTTGTTCTTGTCTTTGTGGTGCTGAGGATTGCAACGAGGACCTCCCAAGTGCTAGGCAAGTGACCTGCCATTAATATCAACTCTAACTGTTTACTTTTAAAAAATCTTTTTAAAAAGTTATTTTGCCTTTTTTTTAAATGAAGCATTATTCTAATTAATTGATCCCTAAGCTTTTCTATTTTTTTGAGAAGGGTTTTGGTACTAAGCTATTTAAAGCTGTCTGTCAAAATACTGAATTCTTATTATAATGCTCTCCTTGGCTAATGCCTCCTTACACTGACCTGTCAGGACCTGGTGAAGCAACAATTTCTGTAAGCACAGTCTCCAGTTAAAGTGGGTTCTTCACAAGGAAGGGAAAGTCGGAAGGACGGGATGCTGGTATTCTAGCTGGGTGTTGGAGGCGCATGCCTTTCATCCCAGCATTCCAGAGAAAGGCGCATCTCTGTGTGTTCAGTGCTGGCCTGGTGTGCAGAGCTAGTTCTAGGACGGGCTCCGGAGCTACACAGAGAAACCCCATCACGAAAAACAGGGTTTTCATAGTTCTGGGGAAGTCAATTCTTAAAAAGGAAATCAGTTGTTAGTGTTGATTACAAAGGTGATTAGCTAGGAAATAACATCTCTATTGGTTATATAGAAAATGCTAGCTGATGAGTGAGCGGAGGAGTGCAGGGCACATTTAGTAAGCATCTCAGAACATTGGACAACAAAGTTATTAGCCCATGTGTGAGAACTTTGTTTTTGTCTGTGTGTTATTTTGGTAGAGTTTTAGATGTTTTCTGTGTGTATAATGTTGATTTAGGTCGTGGTTTTATAATGAAGCCTTGTTCCTTTTGAACAGTGTTATGTTGTAGTTGGTAGGCAGAGAAAAAAAAATGTATGTGTGTGATTGTCTTTCCTGCATGTATGTCACGTGCATACAGTGCTCATGGTGTCCAGACGAAGGCATCAGGTCCTCTAGAACTGGAGTTGCAGACAAATGTGAGCTGCATTTTGGTCCTGGAACATGACCCTGAGTCCTCTATGAGACCTGCAAGTGCTGCATCTCCCTAGCCCTGACAGAGGTGGATGCAGTTGCTGACATTTGATCTGAGACCATTTCTGTTGGTTCTGGAACCTTACCCTGTTGTGAATGCTACTGTTGCTTAATGAGGAGCAAGAGGATAGAAAACAACACTCAGTGGTCTGTGATGTGGAGAACATCCAAATGTTGATGATTTGGAAATCTTGCCTGTTTTTTTTTTTCAATTTTAAAGCAAGTCTTAATTAGCAGCTAATCAGTTTCTTTGAAAAGTGTCATTGAACTAGCCATAGCTTTCTCTAGTCAGCGCCTGTCATCAGGTGACCTCCTTCCTTCTCTGTCATATGTAGCCCAGGCTGGCTTCTATCCTTACCCTGGGGTGGTGGAACATAGGCTTAGTTTACCATTCCTAGATTTCATTAGTGTTTTCTCTGACTTCTCTGTGCTGCCTGTTACCTCTGGACGTAAGTGTGCGTGTCCGCACGTTGTGCGTTCTTGTCACTTAAGTGCGCAGATATATAAGTAGGTAGTTCCTTCTCCTCCATATAGTGGAAGTGTTTAGAGAAGATGAAATGCTTTTTGCCTCTTTCCATTTGAATTCTCTCCTACTAATATACTACTGAGCTGCCTATGATAATATAGAATGAGATTTTTTTTTCTCTACTGGCAGAATTATATTGTTAGGTACTGAGTTGTATAATTTGAGTGAATTTTAACACAATATGTATTTTCTGTTTTTAAATTGACTTATTTGGTATATTTATTTTTTATTTCAATTTATTGGCTTTTATTTGAACTGTAGATTATGGATCCTTTATTAAATAAATATCAAGGTTTTCCATTATCCAAACATGTTTACACATTTATTTATTTGTTTATTTGTTTGTTTATTTATTTATTTATTGGGGTTTTTGAGACAGGATTTCTCTGTATCTTTGGAGCCTGTCCTCGAACTAGCTCTTGTAGACCAGGCTGGTCTCGAACTCACAGAGATCTGCCTGCCTCTGCCTCCCAAGTGCTGGGATTAAAGGCGTGTGCTACCACCACCCGGCTTCTACATTTATTTTTATGAAGGAATTTTACCTATATCAGCCCTCTAATGCCCTGACATTTCCAGGGGCTATGTAATAGATGACAAATAGCCATAATGCTTGCAATATTGTTTTGAAGGTTATGGAGGTTCTTAAACAATCAGGACATAAAAAGAAGTTGTTGTTGTTTTGTTTCTAAAGCTGGCCCTTCGCTTGACAGCTTGCTTGTCTGAATTGATATCATACTCAAGGATATTGTATTAAGAATTTGTTCTAGTCTTTTTCTTTTAAAAGAGACATAGTCTTAGATGGCAATTGTATAAAAATGTCTGGACAACGAGAGTAAGAACAAGCCATACCTTGGGCCATCTCCTGGGCAGTGCTAAAAATACTGTGAACTGCGCATGGTGTAGTGCCACCACCGTATGGATTAGCGAGGAAAGTAGGCCGGCTGGCGGGGGTGACTGGTGACTCTGTGTTCTGTGGGACCTTTCGGATTCGAAATTAAGGGATGCCAGTAAACAGACTTGTGAAACTTGTTGAGCAGCTGTGTTCAGTTTGTTTTTTAATTTCACATTCCCACACTTGTTTATTAGCTGTGACTCTGAGTCCTGAATCAAAACAAATATTTTAATGGTAGCATTTATGATTTGTTTAGAAATGCCTTGCTGAGACCTTTGTAG